ACAAGCCCAGCTAATTTTAGTTTCTAATGAAAACAGCAGGTGGCTGAGAGGATCTGATCTCCCTGGCAGGGCCAGGGCCCTCCAGCCTTGCGGGCTGCAGGCACGGGCCGGGCTCGGGGAGGGCCTCCTGGGAGGAGCCCGAAGGACCTGCAGCCCCCGTTTGAGAAGATCAGGGCACGAGCTGGCTGGCAGTGGCAGCAGGGGCTGGTGGGGTAACTTGATCGATGGCATGGCCATGGCTAGAGTCCTGGGTGGCTGGGGCAGCAGGTGGCAAATCGCTAAGCCTGTGCTCAGCAGTGGCAGGAAGAAGCCTAAACTGGGGCAGTGCGGCCGGTCAGGAGAAGAAGCAGGATGGTCGAGGCCCTCCAAAGGCCGGGTCCGGCCCACCCGTCATGCCCTGGCTCTCTGTCACCCCCAGGAATGGCTTGTGCAATTGACACATGAGCCTGGCCCAGCCCGAGGGTCAGCGAATAGCACCCGTGTCTCTGGGGAAAAAGTTGAGCCACGCTACGGTGCTGGGGGGCGATTCCTGAGGCGTCCAGGACCGGTCGGGCCTCGTCCCAGCAGGTCTCCAAGCCCCTGGCTGACCAACAGACAAGGCGGCCCCCACTCCCCTCCCTCACCCCGGCTTCCCTGCCCTGAGCACTGTGCTGGAGGTGAGCAGCGGGGACCTCAGCAGGACAGAGCCCTCCATCCATGCCGGGAGCATTTACTGAACACCTCCACATCGTGCCCTGTGCGAGGCACCAAGGAGGCCGTCGGCCAGATGTGACACCGAGGGTAGCGTCAACCCCCTGCCCTGTTTGCAGGGCAGGCCGTGGATCTGCCGAGTTCGGGGGAAGAGAGCTGAGACAAAGGTGGGCTGCACTGCTGCTCGCCACTCGCTGGCTGTGGGACCTCAGGCACGTCGCTCCACTTCTGCAGGCCTCAGCCTGCTCATCTGTGAAGTGGCCAGGCGCTGCCTGGGTACCCAGGACAAGCAAGCAGCAACCGTGCGGGCAAGGCCTGCGATGCCTGTGTCCCTAACTCTCCCCTGCTCTGGCACCCAGCCCTCCTCGGGCAAGCCCCCGGGGTCTGGGGGAGCAGGGGCATGGGTGGGGCCGGGCCGCGTGCGCACGGACGGGGACAGCTGTCGTGCCAGATGAAGGCAGGGGCGGGGGGTGGGCACTGGTGCCAGCGGAAGAGGTTGCTCAGCTCCTTCCTGGAAGCTGGCCCAGTGACTCACGGCCACAGCAGTCCAGCAGCTCACCCTAAGCCCCTGCGACTGTCATTCAGCCTGGCTTCCCCCGCTCTGCTCTGCGCCTAGGGCCGGGGCAGGCGGCTCTCCTGGTCCATCTCGCTCCTTGTTCAATGGCAGGGGCCCCATCCACCAGGCTGGCCACCCCCCAGCCCCAGCGGAAGGAAGACCCCCAACTCTGACAGTGGGAAAGGCCAAACAGACCCTCCAGTTTGTTGTACCCATGAGGACACAGGCCCAAGGTCACGGTGGGTGGGGGGTTAGCCAGGCCCCTCAGCCTGCTCCCCCTGCCTGGAGGTCCCCTGAACGCCTCCCTTCACCAGAGGACAGGGCCCAGTACAGCCAGACCTGGCCCCCTGGCCAGAGGCAGAGGGAACAGAGGTCCAGTTGGGGACAGGCCGGCTCTGTGCCTCACGTCCCATAGGGAATGGGATCCCCCACTCTCCCCCGAGAGGCCAAGCCCAGGTCTGTGCAGGAAAGGATCCAACATTCGTTTCAACCCCTTCCCCCCCACTGAGGGACGCCTGTGGCCACCTGAGTGAGGACCTGGCCCACCGCCAGTAGCCTGGCTCTTGGCGCCCCCTGCAGGCCAAGAGCGACAGGTGGGGCTGGCTCCATGGGCGACCCCTTCCCAGGAGGGCTGAGGAGCCGGGTGGGCACCCTCCCTCTCTAGGGGCAGCCTCCCCTGCCCCTCAGCCACCTCCCACCCTTGTCTCCCCCCAGGAGGCTCAGGCTCGCGGGCAGGACACTGCCAGACTCTGTGCATCCCTGGACAGGACCCGGTGGGGAGGAAAGGGAGGGACAGCGAGGCCCTGGGGAGAAAAGGAGCACAGCGGGCTGGGGGAAGCAGGTTGGATGGCCCCGGCCTGAGACCGCCCACCTCCCACTTGCCCACCCGTGCTGCCAGGGAAGGGAGAGGTCCTCACAGTTACCTGGCACCTGGGACGTGCCCGGCCGAGAGCCAGATGCATCCCCCCAGCGAATCACGTCTGTTCCTCACAGCAGCCCCCTGGGGTGGGAACCATCGCCCCACTTACAGATGGGGAAGGCCAGCGCAGGCCCCTCCGCCGGGGACAAGGGACCGTCTCTGGGGGCTGATGGGGCTGCTGCCGCAGGGAGGAGGGCAGCGGCCCAGAGTCACAGCGCCCCGGGGCTAAAGGAAACATCACCAATCTCTCCCGGCCACCGCCAGCCTGGCGTCCCAGCTGCGCCGGGAGCGTTAAAAGCTCTGATGCCCACCAAGCCCGCCTGGAGTGGGGCCCAGGCACCTTTGCTTTCCACAAACCCCACAGACGTTTCCAATGCACAGCAAGATTTGAGACCCATCGCTCTGGCCCTCCCTGTGCCTGACACATGGAACCCGGCTGCTGCTTGCACACCAACGGGGGGAGGCGGGGGGCGGGGGGGAGCAGGCGGCCACCCTCTGCACCCCGCCCGGCATCCTTGGGTTGAACCAACCCAACTCCCGGCAACTTCTGCCCATGGCATCAACGCTAGTCCTTGAGCCACACAAAGAATATCATCTCTACCAACGGCTGTGAAGTCAGGCAAAACCAGGTTCAAATCCTGCTCCACCTCCCTGGCCGTGTGGCCTTGCTCATAAGGCAAATTACCAGTCTGTGCCTCAGTTTCCTTTTCTTTAAAATGGGGGTTCCTTGGCTTGCTGAAGGATTAAATGCAATAATGTCCTTAGCCCAGTCGTAAGTTCCATAAAAGTTAGCCATTCTTATTATCTTCGTCAGAAAAATCTCCCATATTTTAATAGGACTTCCTATGTACTTTTCCATTTGGTCACCATCATTCATTCCTTCATTCAGCAAACAAGCGGTGACTTCCTGCCCCCCCTGGCGCAGGCCCGCGTCAGACCGTCTTCCACGCAGAGCCCTTCGCCTCTGAACCCAGTGCCTCCACTTAGAACCAGCCGTACCTTCCCCGTGTTACAGATGAGGAAACCGAGGCCCAGAGAGTGGTGACCTTCCCCGCGTCCTTTCTCAGACGAGAAGTGTGTGCAGCCTCCCTTGTGAGATGCGACAGCTGCTTCGCCGCACCCCCAGACAGCCCCTGCCCTTGGAAGACCCAGTATGCCGAGAGAGCCCCCGGGGGAGGCGTGGCGGGCTGCAGAGTGCAGGGCAGCAGGACACTGGCTCTCTTTGTGCAGAGCCCCAGACCTGTGTGGCGGAGGCTGGACGTAGAGCCAGGGCCGGAGCTTCCTCCTGGGCCTTAGTGTGCTCACCTGTAAAATGAGGGGTCTGGACCGTACCGCCTGTTGGGGAGCTCTCCTTAAGGGTGAGTCTCTGCACTCTGTAGCTCCCCCGAGAACCTGGAAGGCAGTCCCAGGCAGCCCCACCCAAGAGGTGACCAGATGCGTCTCCCACTGACAGACCGGAAAGAGTCAGCACCAAGCTCTGCTCCGGGTCAGGCTAGGCACCCTCGGCCCGGCCAGGGATGTCGATGGGAGGGTGGGTCAGTTGAGGGGCCGTGGCTAGAGCACAAGCCTCTGGGTCATCCAGACCTGGCTCCAATCCAGATATGCCCTTAAGAGCTGGGCGACCTTGAGCCAGTCACTTCGCCTCTCTGAACACTATCTGGCACTTAGTAAGTGCTCAGCGAATGTGAGTTCTCCTCCCTTGAGAGGGGACCGCCTTTCCCCTGCTCTGCTCCCACCCCATGAGCACTTTTACATCTTGCTCCAGGCTCCCTGACCTCCCGGCCCAGATCACAGAGCGTCTGTCCTTAGATGGCTAAGAGCCTGCCTGGGGCCCTTGAATGCCGCCAAGGGGGACAGGCAGGAGGAAGGCCCATGGATTTGGAGGATTTTGAAGTTTGGCTCTGGCACTTGCTATCTGTGTCACCTCGGGCATGCCACTCTCCTGGCCTTCGTTTTGGAATCCATAGAATGGGCGTAAAGATGATCCCCTCATGGATGTGGGCTGAGGATGCAGCAGGACGGAGTGCAGCCACCACGCACGGCACTCAGGAGGCGATCGATGAACAGTAGCGCTCTCTCCTGTCCTCCACCGAGGTGGAAACACTTACCGCCCCTTCTCCCACGTGTGCCTGGTCCCTGCACGTAAATTCCCTCATTTAGATCGTGGCCCCAACAATAACCTTGTGAGGGGCAACCTCATCAGGGTGTGAAAACACAAGGGTCAGAGCGGAGCACGTGACACACCCCCACCCCCGCCACCACCCACGTCCTGACGATCCCCTGCCCCCCCAGTCCCACCTCCAAAATGCCGCAGCCATGACGCTGGTCTCCACCTGGTGGTCCTAGGACGTGGCTGACAGTGAGGATCTTGGCCCTGCAGCCAGAGGGTGGACTGAGGTCCCTGGGGCTCCTGCCCCGGGGAGGAGGTTGGGGGGTTGGGAGAGAGGCCCTGGGCAGACAGCAGGTCCAGCCTCCCAGCCTCCCTGTCCTCGACTGAGAACAGTCGGGGCCCACAGCCAGGTCTGGGGCGATGTCCGGGGCACAGGCACTGGTGCAGGGGCCACCAGGGCAGGGAGGGACCCTCTAGGGGCTCCGTCAGCTCCTCTCCCACTGCTGCTGCCTGCTTTGCCTGACCTGAGATGGAGGCTTTTTGTGGAAGACTGTCCTTCCACGCCCTTGGTCCCCCCAGAACAGGTGAGGAGGGCCTCTCACTGCATCCAGACGGCAGCCAGGACCAGTCACTGGGACAAGTCAGCTCCCAGAGGCCCAGCCTGGGGCCAGGGCCTGGGCAGAGGGCGGGGTGGGCTCTGCATAGCGTTCCACCCCTCTCCCCAGGTACCTGGCCAAGCTGTCATCGGTGGGGAGCATCTCGGAGGAGGAGACCTGCGAGAAGCTCAAGGGCCTGATCCAGAGGCAGGTGCAGATGTGCAAGCGGAACCTGGAGGTCATGGACTCCGTGCGCCGCGGCGCCCAGCTGGCCATCGAGGAGTGCCAGTACCAGTTCCGGAACCGGCGCTGGAACTGCTCCACGCTCGACTCCCTGCCTGTCTTCGGCAAAGTGGTGACGCAAGGTGAGGGACAGGCCTGGGGGAGCTGTGTGGGGAGGGCCCGTCCCAGGGAAACAAGATGCTGGTGAGTGGCCGGACTGTTCTGAGTGATTCCTGATGCAAACACAGCACAGGGCCCGAGCGAGGGCATAAAAGAGTGCAGAGTGCCGGAGATGCCGGGCTGGGACGGGGGACCGAGGCTGGGACAGATGCTCCTCCAGGCAGGAGGAGGGTCTGGGACGGGGAGGCTGCTCTGTGCTCGTGCAGCATTGTCAGTGCTGGTCCCACGGGAGTGCGAGCAGGAGCCACCATCCTCTTCGGACGAAGGAAGAAACTGAGGCTTGGGCAGGGGCAGGGCTGAGTTGCCCAAGGCTCCTGAGAGGGAGAGAAGCAGAGGCAGGATTCAGACTGGGGCTCCAGCCCCCCAGCCTAGTGCTCCTTCCACCTTAGCGCTCAGCCTCGTACCTGAGCCCCTCTCGTTCCCTCGTGCACCTGACCAACCACATGGAGCACCTGCAGCGCGGCCGGCCCTGAGATCCAGGCAGGGACAGCACCCAGCTCCGGCCCTCTTGGGCTCCGTGTCCAGTGGGGAGACAGACAGGTAAACCACCGCAGCACGGCAGGAGTGGTGGCTTGCACACCTGTGGCACTAAGTCTGGGCCGGACACTGTGTTAAGTGTTTTAAGCAACAATAACTCATCCGGCCCCTTGAGACGGGCCTCTATACTGCAAATGAAGAAACCGCGGCCATAGAGGTTAGGTAACTCGCTCAGGGTCACAGAACTAGGAAGTGGCAGAGCCAGGACTTGCGCCCAAGCAATCCTGCTCTTACCCACAATGAGGAAACGCCGTGACAGAGGGGACAGTGGAGTCTGGGGGAGCACAAAGTGGGCACCTCCCTGGCCAGGGCTGGGTGCTAGGGAAGGCTTTCCCGAGGAGGCAGGCCCTCCACTGAGACCGGGACACGAGAAGGCATTAAGCCAAAGGAAGGTGGCCCAGGGCACGGACAGTGCTCTGTAGAACCAGAAGGCTCCTCCAGAGGCCACCGGCCACGCCCCTGCCCTCAAGGAAGTGCTCTAACCCGGCTGCCTCTGTTTCTACTTTCTGAGCATAGAACTGACACTTCTGAGCCACCAACAGTCAGCAGGGCCCTTTCACTTGATCAGGCAGCAGGAAGGGGTTGCCGGGGCCAACCTTTGTCTTGGCACCTAGGGTCCTGGACGGCCAGGGCTGCTGGGCTTGTGGCAAACCATTTGGATATTGTTGGAAACCAACTGTGATAGAAATTTGGAAGCCATTCTCCTGGGAGCGGGCGGAGGCCAAAAAGGCATGGTCACACTTGGCATTGCTGAACGTCGTTGCTGCCCTAGAAAAGCATCAGAGACGCGGCGTGCAGCCTGGCAGTGAGGATCTCCTGGGATGGTGGTACCACTGCCAACGGCCCAGGGCCAGCCTCAGATAGCACACAGTGGGCGTTCGGAGAGTGTCTTTGGGCTGGATTGGTGGGTGAACCAGCGAGGTTTCACACGCCAGGCCTGTCTCTCACACACACAGCCCCGCCTTTGCACATGCTATTTCCTCTACCCCAAACCTGCAAGCCCTTTCTTGAGGGCTCAGCAGTCCCCTCCTCCAGGAAGCCTTCCCAGCTCTTCCCTCTGGAAGGGAGGGATTCCTTTGTTTTGCCAGTTTTTGTTTTGATATAATTTCAAAGTTATGGAAAAGTTGCAAAAGTAGTACAAGGAGCTCCTACATCCTCTTTACTAGATTCACCAACGGTTTTCATTTGCAACCGTTTGCCTTATTATTCTCTATTTATACAGAGATCTAGAGATGTAGATGCACACACAGTTTTGTCCAAACCGTTTGTGTTCATACTGCTGCTGTCACACCTTTTAGACCGAAATGTGACGTCTCCCCCACACCCCACTCCCCCATCGCTAAGTCTTGAGCCCTTCGAAGGCAAGAGTGAGGGCTCATTGACCTGTTTCCCGGCACGTGGCAGAGCTGCATGGAGGAGACGGTCAGCTGATGTCATCTAATGACACGAAGCAGGTCGGGGCGAGGACTCAAAGAGGCAATGCTGGCCTGAAGCCAGCGCGGGTCTTCTGGACCCGTCGAGAAGTGCCTTCCTCACCTGGGGAGCAGCAGCCAAGGAGGCGACCCAGCCCTGGCTCAGCAAGTTCTGGGGGACACTGAGAATCCTACCAGGCCCGGGTGGAACCTGCTCTGGGCTAAAGTCTGAGTGGCGTGGTCAAGTGTCCCGTCCCCTGGGGCCGAGTCACGGGGCCCTGAGACCAGGCCAGTCACGCCGGCAGACCTCGGTCGTGTTTGCAGGGGGAGTCTGAGCTCTTCCCGCTCACCCAATTCCTCCCCTTCGTATTTTCGGTTTTCTTCCCTAGTAAAATTCCTCTTGTAAACTCTTAGTTTGATTGCACTGAGCAAGAGGAAAAGGCGCGTGTCCGTCCCAGGGCTGAGAACACAGTGCCGCTCTCAGAAAGTCCGGGGTGGGTTGATGGGGGCACGTGGGGCAAGCACGACTTTGGGCAAGTGACTTCTCACCTCTGAGCTGTGGTGTCCTGACCTGCCAATGACACCGCACTCGTGCTTATCTCCTGGGTTGTCATGAAGATCCGGTGACTTATGTGTGGGAAGCACTTCGTGTAGACCCCGACCTGAGAAGGGCACCCACTGTCACCAGCTGCTGTCATGTGCACAGCCTGTGCAGGCGGGCCTCCCCCACACTCCCGGCTCTCAGGATTGGGGGGCTGGGCCGGTGCCCGCATGCGTGCGCTGCCGGGCTGGGATCACGGCCTCAGGTGTGGAGCAGGACAGAGCTAACAGGTCCCACCCAGGGTCCAGGCCATTCTTAGAGAAGAAAGGAGCCCCATTTGCTGAGGTCCTGTTGTCGTCCCGCGTGACATCATCCTCACGCCAACGCTGTGAGTTGCAGTGCCGTCCTCTGGGCCACAGCTGAGAGAGGAGGCTCAGCAAGCAGAGGGCAACACACCGCATCCTGGGCTGCGCTCCTGGCTGTGCGACCCGGGGCAAGGCCCATGTCATCTCTGTGTGCTTCTTCCTGTAAAATGGGGACAATCCCAGGACCTGCCTCCTAGGACTGCAAGGATTCGGAGAGACAATGACTCTCTGAAGGGCTAAGTGGGCCCACAGGGCTCGGGCGGGGGCATCGCCCCAGGCCTCACTGCCTCCAACCCTGCGCTCCCCCTGCTGGCAAGCAGCACAGGCCGCCCCAGGTGCTGGCCTCCTAAGGCAAGACGGACGGTGAAACGATGATGAACAAGGAGGCCAGTGTGTAATTTAGGGCCAAACTGTGTGCTCCAGGCTGAACATCTACCAGAAATTTGGTAAAGGTGGCGTCCGGGGCAGCTGGGAATGCAGGAGGTGGCAGTTCTCGGCTGAGCCAGAGTCCAGGGCCAGATGCAGGACGGCCTCTGTCTGTTTTAGTCACTGCTTCCTCGCCCGGAACAGCACCCACACCTGTGGGCAACCGATAACTATCTGGATGGGAGGGAGGCCAGAGCCTGGTGACGGCGTGCCGGGGGCACGGGCCTGAGCGGGGTCGGGAGGGAGGGAAGGCGATAAAATCCCTCCTGCTCTCTTCCCCCTGCAGACAACTCCGGGCTTCCTCCTGACGATCGCGCCTCCTTCTGTGACCTTGAGCGAGTCCCTGTCCCAGAGAGGGGACTTGATGAGCCCCGAGGCCCCATCGGGCTCTGACTGCCGTGGTTGGGAGGCCGCGTGGTACGCTGGCCACGTGGCGCCGTAGCGAAGTGAGGGTTCAAACCCAGGCCCGTCTGTCCGCCCCCCACGTGTCCAAACCACCCAGGGCGCCTCACTGACTGCGGCACCAGGCTGGACTTAGGAAGTAAATGCCCTTCAGTCCTGGGCGGCGCCTCACTAAAACCCCTGTTCTCACCTTTATCCTCAATATTGGCATCGTGTTGACCCAAGGAGGGTCAACCTTCTCCCCGGCCAGGCTTTTGATGCCATTAGATGTGATCTGAGCAGGAGGGGACCCCAGAGACACTTTCAGACTGGGAGTTTCTGGAGGCTGCAGGGGCCAAAGAAAGTTCACGATGGGGGGAGGGGACGTGGAGAGGCGCGAGGTCTGGGCTGCCGGGTAGCATTACCACCCCCGTGTTAGAGTTGGGGACACAAGACTCGGAGAGGAAGGTCATACCACTAGTGAGAATCGAACACAGACTTGTCTGGTTCCAAAGCCTTTATTCCTCCCTACATTGTCTCTTAAGTCCAAAGAGCTTCCTGGAGGTGGTTTCAAGAAAAGGTGGGCGTCTGTAGATCCAAGGAGAGAAAGGGAAACTGAAAAGGCAGCTGTGGAAGGGAGAGGCTGGAAGATGGGGAAGGTTTTTCTGGGAGACGGTGCCTGTCCACCCCTCTCCCCCAGGACACCCACCCCGGTGCCCAGGAGGTCACCATGCCCAAGGCTTCCTTGCCAGCCCAGCTCAGCTTCAGCTGCTTCTCCTCCAAACACCCTTCCTGCCCAATGTCCTTCCTTCCAACATCTGGGAGACACATCGCACGTGATGTGCTCCGAAGAGCACGGGCCGGGCCTTGAGTCAGACAGGCCTCGGTTCCAGTCCTCGCCTGGCCATTCACTGCCTGAGGGACCCTGGGCAAGCCACTGAGCCCGACTTTTTCTTCTGCAGAGCAGAGCTGTACACACCTGATTGCTATGGTTGCCAGGACAGCTTATGGGAAGGCCCAGGCACACAGTAGGCCCTCAAAAAGAGTAGCTGTTATGGATGAACAGGACAGCTGTGAATCCCCAACCCCAGGCAGCCTTGGAAAAGATGGCATTGAGGCCGGACCCAGAGGGCATGCAGGATTTAGACCGGTGGAGTTAGAGAACAGGGCTGCTCTGGGAAGAAATAGCAGGAAGCAAGGAGCTGGGTGTGGGAAAGGGCAAACGGCTGTATGGAAAAGGAAGAAGGTTGCAGGGCAGTCGCTGGCACTTTAGAGTCCTGCCTTGCCCTGGCCCAGGAAAACACAAGGTGAAGATTGCCTTCCTCCTATAGCTGGAACAGACAAAGCCCCTGACCAGGGAGCAGGATCAGGGGCAGGATCCGCCACCTTGCTGGGGAACTGCCTGCCACTACACTCCCAGGCACACCACAGTTCTTTCTCCATGTCTGAGTGGCCCCTGGGGAGAGCAGGCCCAAGCAGGCACAAATAGGCAGGGCTCCAGCCTGGGCACCTGGGAAGAGGTGAGTGGCTGGGAAGGGCCACGGCACTATAGTCAAAGAGCTGGGACCCAGGGCCAGTTAGACAAGGCTGGAGGAGCCACTGGCGTAGCTTTAGGGGCACAGAGGCGTGCCCACACCTTCCAGGACCTCTGGGGCCTCCTGTGCTGAGCACAGAGGCCAACTGCTCACCAATCCCCATTGAAGAACCCACAGAGGCCAAGCACCGTGGCTCACGCCTATAATCCCAGCATTTTGGAAAACTGAGGCAGGAGGATCACTTGAGGCCAGGAGTTCAAGACCAGCCTGGGCAACATAGCAAGACCTCATCTCTACAAAAAATTTTTAAAAATTAGCTGAGTATGATAGCATGAGCCAGTAGTCCCAGCTACTGGGGAGGCTGAGGCAGGAAGATCATTTGAGCCCAGGAGTTTGAGGCCAGCCTGGGCAACATAGTAAGACCCCATCTATAAAAAAATAATAAAAATTAGCCAGGCATGGTGGTGCACACCTGTAGTCCCAGCTATTTGGGAGGCTGAGGCAGGAAGATCACTTGAGCCCAGCAGTGTGAGGTTGCAGTGAGCCGTGATGATGCCACTGCACTCTAGCCTGGGCAACAGAGTAAGACCTTGTCTCTTAAAGAAAAGAGAAAGAAAGAAAGAACTGGGCTTGTGATATTTGGGGTAGACCTAAGGATGCCCTTCTTGGCTTGTCATGGGAGGTGGGAGTTCGCCTGCATCACCTGCATGTGTGTGCCCAGGGCTCAGGGACTCCGTGAGGCAGAAGAGTGTCCAGGTTGAGAGCTCTGGGGCCAGACTGCCTGAGTTCAACCTCTGGCTCCCCCACTTCCAGGCTGGGCGTGTTGGATAAGTTGCTTCACCACTCAGTGCCTCAGTTGCCTCATCTGTCTAAGGAAGATGAAAAGTATCCACCTCATGGCGTTATTGTGACAGGTATATAAACGAATATATGTAAAGTGCTCAGGCAGTGCCCAGCCTGTAGTAAGCTCTCTGTAAGCTTTAGCTCTTGTTATTATTATCTTCCTTCCACAATCTCTTCCTTCAGGCCCTCTCCCAAGCTGAGAAAACCAGTGTCGTGCTCCCCTGAGGCCAGGGCAGAGGGACCTGGAGTCTTGGTGGATGGCTGTTCCCAGGGGGCCCTGCACCCAAGGGACCCCCAGTACTCAGTGGGGATCAGCCTGGCGCTGGGGTCGGGCCGGGCGCCGTGAGAGCCCAGAGCAGCAGAGGAGGGACCACACGGGCCCAAGCTGAGGCTGCCACCACTCCCATCTGCCCTATCTCCTGCTTTGACTTCCCTTCCCCCTTGGTCTTTGGGGCAAAGATTTGTGCTGGTTCAGGCCTGGAAATACCAGAAATACCAGAAACTGAAGTCGTCTCTCTTTGGGCGGCCACAGCATAAAACCAACCAACATGATCCTGCTATTAACCTCGATTAACTTGGATAAGATTCCATCTCAGGCTGTCGAGGCTCCATTGCTCCAGCCAAGCCCCCCAACGCTGGCCCAAAATGGCCAAGCCGGGGCAAAGAGTGGGCAGTGGAGAGTGGGCAGTGGGCGGTATCCCCAGCTCAAAGGCCGAACTAAGAACAGGGCGTCCCGAGTGGTCGGGACGGAGCCGCCTTCCACCCCGGTGCTCGGCTTCTGCTGCCTCTGTCCACAGACACGGGCACAGAGGAGGTGATTGTTTCCATCTGACCACGGTGACTGCTCCCCGGGGCAGCCGAGAGCACAGGCCTGGGTGTCGCAGAGGTAATTGCCAACCACGGGCCCAAAGCCTGCCCCCTCCACTCCTGCGGACACAGACGCTCCGGTGAGAGACAGAAGGACAGTCACAGCACACAGAGGCCCTCACAGGGCCGGGAGAGGATCAGGGCCTGCTGTCTGGTCGCACACCCAACCAGCCGCGCGCTGCGCTCACACACACCCCCACCCCAGAAAGAGTGCACAACAGCTACACCCCGAGGCACAGTTCCTAGGAGGATAAAAACATCCATTCAGGCAGGGGACGAGGGCCAGAGGGCCGCACCAAAACAGAAAGGCCCAGGTAGAGGTGGACAGGCCTGTGCTTAAGGCCTGGTTGTCGCTTCCTGGCTGGGAGACGGGGACAGATCCCTTCCCCCCACAGCCCGCATTTCACCCTGTGTGAAAGAGGACGGAGAAAGCCCCAGTCAGCCAGAGCAGGGGTAAGTGGTGGGAGTCAAACGGAAAGAAGATGTTTTCGAAAGCAGGCCCAGCCTCCGAGGAAGCGCCGGGGCAGGACCATGAGGTGGGGACCCGTCAGAGCCCAGTGGGGCGGCGGGGAACAGGCCAAAAGAGGAACCCAGCCCCGAGTGCACGGTCCAGCTCCGCAGTCTCGGCCAGTCGGCTCACCGCTTCAAGACCGTCGGGTCGCCCATAAAATGCGGCGACCATCACTATCATCCGGAAAGGGTGGAGAACAGTATCCCACAGGAGCTGGGAGTGCAGGCGCTGACCCAGACTACGGTCTCAGCCACGTCCTGTGTGACCTCGGACAAGCCGCCTAACCTCTCTGTAAATGGGCATAATAACGGCATTCGCCTCACGGGGTGGTCGTGAGGATGACATATCGGCGCGTGCGAAGAGCGTGAGAGCGCCGGTGCAGAGGAAGTGGCTGTAGCTCGCTCCCTCTGCGGCCCCAGCACAGGGGGCCCAGGGGCCCTCCTCCTGCAAAGGAGGGTGCAGGGGGGAGCCCTGGGACCCAGCCCTGCCCTCCCTCTGCCTCCCACAGGGACTCGGGAGGCGGCCTTCGTGTACGCCATCTCTTCGGCAGGTGTGGCCTTCGCGGTGACGCGGGCATGCAGCAGTGGGGAGCTGGACAAGTGCGGCTGTGACCGGACAGTACACGGGGTCAGCCCGCAGGGTAGGTGCGGGGGTGGGGTCAGAGCGGGAGGGCAGGCGGGGGCCCTGGCCCTCACTCACCCGCGGCCCTCCCTGTGCCCCCCGCCCCAGGCTTCCAGTGGTCGGGATGCTCAGACAACATCGCCTACGGCGTGGCCTTCTCTCAGTCGTTTGTGGACGTGCGGGAGAGAAGCAAGGGGGCCTCCTCCAGCCGGGCCCTCATGAACCTCCACAACAACGAGGCCGGCAGAAAGGTAGTGTGCTCCTGCCATCGTGCGGGCAGGACGGCATGGCAGGGCCCCGCAGCACCCCCCACCACACAGCCACCCGAAACTAGTTTGTTCAGGCTCTCTCCAGCACCAGCCACCTTCTGCAGGCCGGCGGGGTCCAGGACGGGCTGGGTGGGGGACAGACAGGCGGGCAGGTGTTACACAACAGCGTGCATGGCCCCGTACATACATACATACGTCTGTGTGTCCATCCCTGTCACACACACACACGCCCCAAACGAGTAGCAGAGCTGGGTTTGAACTCTTTCGTGTGCCTGTGACACCACCGGCCTTCTCGACGCCCACCCCCGAGGTTCCGTCTGAGATTCATGCAGCGTCCTCCCCATCACACCACCTGTCACTGTTCCATGGGACGCCGCCCCTAGTGTCTCTCCTCCAATAACGCCAAGTGCCCGAAGCGCAGGGACGGTATCTTGTTCATCTGTCCCCAACACTGCTCACCAGCCCAGCATGGCAGCATACAGTAGGTGCTTAATACAGAGGAAGCAGGTGGGTACATCTGACTCGGCGGTGCCAGCCCCGGGGCCCTGATCCTGTGGGCCCCGTCCGCGCTCCCGTCAGCCACCAGGCCCCTCCCCGGCCGCCACCGCCGCGTCCTCACGGCCCCTCTCCGCTGCCCTCTCCCACAGGCCATCCTGACACACATGCGGGTGGAGTGCAAGTGCCACGGGGTGTCGGGCTCCTGCGAGGTGAAGACGTGCTGGCGAGCCGTGCCGCCCTTCCGCCAGGTGGGCCACGCGCTGAAGGAGAAGTTCGACGGTGCCACTGAGGTGGAGCCGCGCCGTGTGGGCTCCTCCAGGGCGCTGGTGCCGCGCAACGCACAGTTCAAGCCACACACGGATGAGGACCTGGTGTACCTGGAGCCCAGCCCAGACTTCTGCGAGCAGGACACGCGCAGCGGCGTGCTGGGCACGAGGGGCCGCACGTGCAACAAGACGTCCAAGGCCATCGACGGCTGCGAGCTGCTGTGCTGTGGCCGTGGCTTCCACACGGCACAGGTGGAGCTGGCCGAACGCTGCAGCTGCAAGTTCCACTGGTGCTGCTTCGTCAAGTGTCGCCAGTGCCAGCGGCTCGTGGAGCTGCACACGTGCCGGTGACTGCCCGCCCGGCCCGGCGCCCGGCAGCCACCTCGCGGCCCAGGGAAGGCCGATAATTTAAACATTCTCCCACCACCTACCCCAAGAGATACTGGTTGTATTTTTTGTTTTGGTTTGGTTTTTGGGTCCTCATGTTATTTATTGCCAAAACCAGGCAGACGACCCCAAGGGCACCAACTGGAGCCTCCCCAAAGCCTGGGCCTTTGTGGCTGCCACTGACCAAAGGGACCCGGCTCATGCCTCTGGCTGTCCACATGTGGCTGCCACTGACCACTCAGATGTTATCCGTGTCCACTTTTCTACTTGCAGACTTAGGTGGGTAATGAGGAGTATTAGAGGTGGCCCTATGGCAGGGAAAATAGGTGCCATCTTGATGGAAGTCACATCCCCTGGAAAAAAGAGCTCGCAACTCTCTAGCACACGCACACACACACACGCACACGCACATGCACACTCCTGGCAGCTTGGGCCTGGTAGCCTTGTCTCTCAAACCCCCTGGAAAGGGAATGAGCAGATACCGGGTCAAAGGCAAAGGGCTGACTTCAGCCATCACAGGGGCAGCTAGATGTTCAATCTTGCAGGTCCTTCTGGGCAGGAAGGGCAGGCAAGGTGAGGGCAAGAGAGGGCTACAGTCCCACCCCAGAGCCCAGCCTGCCCCGGCCTGCCCCCGTGGAGTAGGAAACTTCCCCACTCCCCAGTCCCTCCTAGGCAGGAGCACAGGCTGCCATCCTGGACCAGAGGTCCCGGCTGGGCTTTTGCAGTCACACCCCTGTCTGACTGACCTCCTCACAGTGCTGTTCCTCTGTGAAACTGAAACTGAAAATCACACAGACACACGGAGAGGAAAGGGCTGTGCAATGAAGTCCTCTCCCATTATCTTACTTAATAACACAAATTACTGAGCAAATATTAATACTATGCTCTAGGCCCTGTATGGGCTGTCTCACTTGATGGTCACAGCAGTCAGGAGGCAGACAAAACAGGTCCGCTTGTGTCCATTCTGTGGCAGACAGGGCAATACTCACGAGGCCCCACAGGGAGCTGGAAGGGGAGGCAGAGCCAGAAGAGCCCGCTAGCCAAGGTTCCTGCTTGGCTCTTGTACCCAAAGGCACAGAAACTGCAGGTCTCTTGGGTCTGAGCCTTGGGGAGGGGGTTCTTGCTGGAGGAAAAGGGGCAGGGAAGCAGCAGGAGCCAGACACCATGGGCTGGGTGGAGCCCATGTGCTCCTGAGGGCAGGTGACCAGCTGGACGGCTGACTAGTGCAGTTTCAGTAGCTTAGGTGCCCCCGCCCCAGGATCTCAGGTCTGAGGTCCCAGGTACCATAGATATTGCAGCAGATTTCCCAAGAAACAGCATCAGCAACCTGGTCCTGGCCCTATGCAACAGCCAAACCATCAGAAACCCAGCCCAGACCTGTGAGCAGGACACACACACAGCAAGACCTAGGCCCTGACCCAACTGCTTCTCAGCTGGGCTCCCAACCACCAAAGGAAATTGTCAGCCCAGTTTCCAGGCTGCCCTCACACTGGGGCGCTAAGTTCCAGGTTTGAGGTCTTGAGCTCTGGGATCCCCACTTGGGGTTCCCAGACCTCAAGCTCTTGGCTTCTGGGTTCAGTGGCTGAATTCAAAATCCCAGGTTCAGAATATGGGCTCCGACCTACAGAAACTCTTCTCCAGGCCTTGTCGCTCGTGCCTCCCGGTGTTGGCTCCCTCACGAAGAGAGGGTCAACGCCCACGGCCCTCAGCCGACATCTCCGCTCAATGTCCATCCAAGAAGGAGGCCAAAACCAAGTGAGATGCTGGAGCCACATTCAAATGTGGGGATAATCTCGGGGCAGGCCGGCTCTGATGTGGATGAAAGCTGAGCCGACCAAGTGTCACCACAGCTGCCCAGCTGGGCCCACTGCTCCTCTGGCAGGCTTTGTTCAGCTGTCCACTCAGCCCAGAGAAAATACTATCCCTCACTGGCAGAGGCCAGACCCAGACAAAGGGAGCCATGAGGATCCCTCCCCTCCAGAGAGAGAGCTGAGCCACTCTGCCCCTCCAGGGGAGCAGAGGGGCCAGGCTGCATGCTGGTATGATGGGCACTGCCCCAGGAAGATGTGAGGTCTGTGGCATTCACAGGCTTCACCTTTCCACCTGCCAGGGAGCTCCTCAAAGCCAATCTTCCTGAGGTTCTGAGGTCGTGACCTAGGTGAATCAGACCAGATTCTAGGAACCACTGCCCAGCCCTACACCACCAGTGCCACAAAGGCCAAAGGAATCCACAGCCATAGGACAAAGGAGCCTCCTTGGACATACCCAGCTCCAAACTGTCCCAAATACAAAAGAGGAACTGGCACAGGCCTGACATGGCCCACCCATTCTTGGTCCCACACGGCCTGGGAACTAGCCAGAGGGTCCACATCCTGCCCAAACTGCTCTCCACTAGTCTTGTCCCAAGGCAAAGGTGATGTCCTGTGAGGCCTAGGGCTGGACACACCCCAGCTCTGGATGCTGCTACCCGTTTCTGCCACCCCCACCTCACCCTCCAATTTTTATACTAGGCTCTTGGCCATTGTGACATCCCCATGACATAGTCTGATGCACGATAAAATGATTATTTCTTTATCTTGCAATTGTGGCAGTGACTTTTTTTATAGAATAGGGAGAAGAGAGACTTGGGGAAGGGCATGAGAAAAGCAGATAAACAGTAGCAAATTCTAGATATGGGGACGCCCTTTGCCTTGTTTCCTCTGAATAACTAGTGTGAGGGCCACCAGGACCCACAGGCTTGCTGTCTGAAGTATCACCACTAACACACAAAGGCTATATTGCATCTCACTGAGCCGCAGCCAGCTACTTAGACTTTAGCCTGAATGAGCTGATTGGCTCTTTCACAAGTGTTGATGTGGAGCAGAGGGTCTGGGGAAGTGGGTGCTGATACAGGAGGTGGGGGACGATGGAGAAGAACTTAATTCCTATCCAGGGACATAGGAATCCAAGGCCTGTATAGCTAGAGGTAAACTCCAGGATTAGAACACAGTCAGAAGGAGGAGGCTTGGATGGAAAATTTCATATAACTCAAGTCAAAAGCCACAGTCGAGGGAGCGCCTTGCTGATGGGGAGACCCAGGGTGGCTTCTCAGGAACCTGCGTTCTAGCTGAGTGAAGTCCTCATTCTTACCAAAAGGGACCATGGCCTGTGCCCCACCCCTAATGCAGCAAATCCACACCAGTCTGGCTGCTCTGTGCTTGGCTTTCCAAAAGTTTGCAGGGTAAAGGGGTGAAGGAAAGCGCTTTCAGAACAGCAGGGGTACACACGGATTTGTGAAGAATCGGGGGCAGGAGGATGACAGACAAAGGGAGGGCATGGGGTCTGGAGTATGGGTGGCTAGAAAAAGACACCTCATTCTCAAATCAGGATCAACGACAGAGAGAGGGAACTGGTGACATAGAGGGCACAAGATGGCAGAGCAAAGAAGTAGCGGTGTCTATGACCAACCATCTTCTAGAACTAGGAAAGTCTCAGGCTTTGAAATCAGACAGACCTGGGTTTGAATCCCAGCGCTGCTGATTCTTCACTGATGGAAACTTAGACAATTCATTGTCCTCCCCAGGCCTCATTTCATCTGTAAAATGGAGCTGCTCCCCGCACCAACACACACACGCATTGAATGGGGCTAAATAATACTAGAAGCCACTTCTTGAGAATGTTAAATAACATATGTAAAGCTCACCAAATGACAACTCTTACTGCAAGTGTTATTATTCCTTCTTCAGGAACATAGGAGGCAGTTAAAGTAGTTATAAGATGAAGGGTGCTGGAAAGGAAGATGAAACAGGAAAACAGAGACCACGTGGAACAGGTTTGGGGCTGAGGCTGGTACTCCAAGGCTTTGGCCCCATCCCAGAGCTCAGAAGCAGGCAGATCTCTGCCCATGGTAGAGAGCCCCAAGCGGGAAAGCAGAGAATCCCAGGGACCAGGACACCCAGGCAGCAGCCAGCAAGGCTATGGCAAAGCTGCCCCGGGCACCAGCAGGAGGGGCTGAACCAAGGTCCCAACATGGGGGAGAAGCAGAGCGAGACCAGGGAGCAGGGCCTGGGAGGTGGGCACAGTCAGGAGTGCAGGCAGGAGTGCCAGGCTGCAGGAAGGGCATGTGGTGGGGCCCCAGAGCTCTGCCTGCAGGGGCAGAGGGCAGGCTTTCAGGCTCCCAGGCTGGGTCGGCTCACAGAGAGGCTGGGTCTAGGCTCCATCCCTGGTAGCTACCCTCAGAGCTCAGGCCTAAAGGTCTCTTGGAGGGTTGTGAAAATGCAGTGATCAAGTGGACCTCTTTCTCATCCCTCTCCTGAGAACAAGCGGTCCATGGGAAGTCTGGGGAGCATCACAGGCAGGGTTTAAGGCCCATCATGGGCCCAGCATGGGCCAGAGAACACAGGCACACAGGGTATACGTGAAGTCTAGGGGACTAGGCAACTGCGTGGGGCTAAGAAAGACTAGACATAGAGTAAGGAAAAGGCAGAGGGTGGGAGGACAGACACGAGGAAGACACGGAAAGAGAAGGTGGCCCTGCGGGGCCTGTGAGACCTACAGGCAGTGACCGAGGTGAGGGTGTCTGGGCAGAGGAGCCCAGCAGCTTCCTAGTAAGAGGAGAAAGTGCTGAGCTTCAGGAGAAAGCGTGTGATTCAGAAGGGGTGGGGGTGGGGGGTGTCTGGGGCACATGGGGGAGGGGTGTGTGGAGCGTGGCCTGGCCCAGGCGATGACTTCATAGGCATCTCCTCCATTCCTTCCTGAGCCGCCAGTCCTGGTGACCCCCTGCCCGCATCTCAAGGGTCTAGGCCAAGCAGGCGCTGACAGGGGAGAGAAGGGGCCCTTCTGGGCCAGGCCCCCAAGCCTGGCACAGTGCCTGCTGGGGGGAGGGGACTAGCGGCCCAGCCCTTGTCAGCATCCCTGCCCGGCACTTCGGAGGCAATTAGCAGCCCAGCTGAGCTAATCCCCCGCCTGGCGAGGCCAACACAAACAGGCCCAGGCCGGGTGCACACTCGCCTCCCTGTTTGCTGAGGGGCCCGGTGGTCCGCCAAGAACAACACCAATAACCCA